AAATAAACTAAGGAAGAAGAACGATCGTCTACTATTTTTGTACTTTCCAGATATGTTTGTAGATTTGATTCCAGAATGTTTTGTATGGGTTTTAGAATGTAACTTAAAAGTAAAGTAATGAGGTTTGAGATTCCATTTTCCAGAAAGTAATGAGCAAAGTAATCCCATTACAATTGTAGTTAAGTACTGAGTAATCGGTAATGGATTACTTTTTTTGAGTCACTACCCCAACACTGTTCATGACTGCATGAGTGCACAGTAAAATCTGTCATGTGACATAAGCTGTTGAGACATTATGCATTAGTTACGTAAAGAAAGTATAAATATATTCTGATTACAATAATCAACAACATAGACTTTCATGAATGTTTGATTAATAACTAATACTTTTCAGAATATAATTACAGGAATTATTCCTAAAAAAAGTAACAAATTTACACAGTTGTCCACTCACCCCAGACGTAATCTATCAGCCAAGACCTGTTTGGTGTCCAAATTCAGCTTCTTTAGCTTAGAACTGGAGCTACAGGGCTAATCTAGCTAACAAACACTAGGAGTGAATAGTCCAGGTCTTCATGAAGGTGGTGCAGGCTTGTAGCTGTGGTTTGGAACACAGTGTGATTTACTGTGAGATATAAACGTGAACTAAACTTCACTGTGTAGCTGAACTCTGCAGTCAGATCCTTCAGATAAACAGGTGATGTGCTGGACTCTGACTTGTCCACAGAATCCAGCTGCCCTTTACGTTCATGACACACAGTCATACAATAGCAGTGGAACTTTGACTGGAAATAGGTTTTGTGGTCAGACGAGACAAAAAAAACACCTTTTTAAAAACAAACACTTAAGGTGGGGCTGGTGGAAACAGGAGGATGGTTCTGTAGAAAAACATCACCTCTGCTGTTAAGTAATGTGGAGGATCTCTGATGTTTTGGACTGTGTTTGTCTCCAAAGGCCCTGAGAACCTTGTTAAGACACAAAGCATCTCAGTCTACATGAAGTATAAAGCGATTTTATGTCTCTCTTTGAGCTGCAAGTGTGTTCAGTGGCCTGTGGTGTCACTGTGTGTTGTCTAATTCTAGACTTACAGGGATGATGCATATTTCAGGATGGAGAAAGAGTGGTAATCTGTAATCTGAATATTGTCTTTTTAAAATCAAATCAAATCACGTTTATTGTCACATCACATTTACACAGGTGCAAGGAGTGAAAATCTTGGGTGTGTAGCCCCCTTGTAGAGTTTAAATACTATATATATATATATATATATATATATGGAGAAAAAAGAAATATATAAACTCAGACTCTAAATATATACACATATACACAATATACACTAGTATTGCACTATTTACAATGTACAGTTGTACAGTAATAAGTTAAGAAATAAAACTATAAAATGTGCTGTTGTAAACATTCCGTATGTGCAGTGAGTCTGAGGTAGATAATAAATGAGATGCAGGTACACAGAGGATAGAATATTGATATAGAAATCTTCCAGATTATACAAGATATGGATAGAAGATGTACAAGATGTCAATCTATATGTGTAAGTATAGATTTGCTAGATTGAAGGTGCAGTAAGATCAGAGTGAGTCTGTTGAGGTGTGGATGTGGTGTAGATTGTCCATGGAGATCATCATGATGATGACTCAGAGGTGCAGTGACAGCCGATACACCAGCAATACTGGCTGTTCAGCAGCCTGATGGCTCGGGGGAAGAAACTGTCTCAGGACCAGCTGGTTCTGGACTTTATGCTTCTGTACCTCCTCCCGCTCGGCACTTGTGAGAACAGACAGTGGCTCAGGTGGAAGTCCTTTAGAATCCTCCTGGTCTTCCTCAGGCAGCGGCTGGTGTATAAAACTAGGAGGTTTGGGAGCTGGACCCCGGTGATGTGCTGGGCCATCCGCACCACCCTCTGCAGAGTTTTCCGCTCAATGGCAGTGCAGTTCCCTTACCAGGAGGTGATGGAGCTGTTAGAATGCTCTCCACAGTACATGTGTAGAATGTTTTGAGGATGTGGGGGTTCATGCCAAACCTCCTCAGCAATCTGAGGTAGAAGAGGCACTGTTGTGCCTTTTTTACCACCTG